GCCGGGAGACGTTGCCTCCTGTAGGTGGAAACGTGGGAGCGACGTGTGGAGACGATGTTGCCCAGCTCAGCGGGGGCCACGTGAACTGTAGGATAATATTTACAGAACATCAGTGCTCGCATCATTCATCACAAAAATCACACACCACTGCTAGTCCCATGGAACTAGGAGTTAATCCATCATCTGCCTCCACCTCTCTCCCCCTCTCTCTCCCCCTCTATCTCCCCCTCTCTCTCCCTCTCTCTCTCCCCCTCTCTCCCCCTGATCCAGGCCTTTACCAACCGTACTCTCACCTTCTCTCTCTCTCCAGAGGACACACAAAAAAAACTTTGGTGTAATTCAAAAATAGTAGTGACAGCTTCTGGAGTCAAAGTCACCCCACGTGAATAATCAATACTCGCAGAGACCGAAGGCTCCAGAAGGCGAGCGGGCGTTCTTCTTCTTCTTCTTCTTCTTCTTCTTGTTGTAGTGGAGTGGAGGAGCCCAGACTCGGCGCTGGGGCTGCAGGGGTTTCAGTATCTGCCCTGTCATCCTTACTCCTGCTCCTACCACAAACAAAGGCCTCTGTAACAGCTGGATCCAGCCAGCGTCAGCCGTTCAAGGTCTAATTAGTCCTTCCCTCAGGAGGTGCAGTGACTGCAGCACAGATCATGCTCATTGAACGGGAGTGATTTTCAAGTTTTAATGAGTAACTTTCAGTTGGAAACAGTTGTGGTTTTTATTGTCTCATTGATCAGTTGTGTCTTTAAAGTTGGGCTTCATTTTGAAAGCAGGGCCAGAGGTGTTATTTGTTTTATTATTCTCTTTTCTCTTCACAGTCCAAACCTGGTAGCCAAGGTTTAGCCCATGTGAATTATTAGAATAATGAGCTTAAAGGCTTATCAGGCACTGAAGCAACAGCTGAGGGAACACAGTTTACTGGTTCATCTAGACCAGGGGTGTCAAACTCAAATCCACAGTGGGACAAAGTTGACAATTGGGACGAAGTCTTGGGCCAAACCTAGTATTTTTGGAAAAATTGACTGCAGTTGTTTATGTTTTCCCTTCTGTCCAGATCTGTAATGTAGAATTTTTTCATATGGAAACAAACTTTAGTTTTGCCTAAACGTTGAATCTTGGTGTTATTGTCCTGTCCTTGTTGTAGTTGTTTATTCATTTTTATATCAGTTGAATCTTGGTGTTACTGTCCTGTCCTTCTTGTAGTTGTTTATTCATTTTTATATCATTGTTTAGTTTCACAGACCATCATTTATTTCTTGCTTTGTGAAACTCTCACAGACGTGTCAGCTCACCACCTCAGCACTTAGTTCCTCAAAGCAGCATCTGCCAAAATCAGTTTACAACGGTGAGACTTTATTAAGGAATAAAGTCTGATTCAAGTTGGATTTTTTTTTAAAGTCAATTTAAAATTTTCAATGTCTTTGGGCCTTTGTATGACCCTCTTTGTACGATTAAAAATAAAATAAAAACTACTTAATGACAATATATATATAGTCATTAAATCATCATCAAATTTAATATATATCATCAAAATAAAATTACAAATATATATACAATATACAGTATACAGTATATTATGCCTATGTCTAGTTTATTGCTTTATTGGCACAATGAGCAGCAGTAATAATATATATTGATGCTGCTTCTGTGCTGACCCTTTTCCTTCACCCCTGGTTTAGCTGACTCTCACAGAGACTGTTTACTACCATCCTCATATACTGTATATCCACCATCAGCCAATCAAATCACACTGTATACAGTAGTATAGGAAGGAGGACCAGCTGCTGGAGAGATTACCAGCGAGGAGAGAAAAACAATGCAGACTTGAAGTCATCCTCCTCCATCTCCTCCCCACCATCTTATTCCTAATCCACTTAGTTGGCTCTTCCTGAGCCGACTGCCTTCACTTTATTCCATTATAGAGAGCCACAGTACAACCTGCTGCTTATTCCATTAAAAAGGCCTAGTCCGTGACCCCGTGTCTAATCCACGTGGACTACAAGACAGCCGTGGCCCACGGTCGTCCTGCAGTTCTTGACGGAGAGACGGGAGGGGATTTCACTGGTGTGTGAATTCTGACAGATTTGTGACTTCCTTCTCCAGCTTTGATGGTTGGAGATGACTTTCCATGTCACATCTGTTATATGGAAATGACCACACATCTAAAAGTTGAATACAGCCTGTAAAAGGAGCCTCAGAGCCCGAGGCTTTTAAACCCCCCCCCCCCAAACTCCTCGGCTTCCAGTTTATATTGTAGTCAGTACCGTGGCTCGTTACTGCTAACCTTGGACGAAACTTGGCTTCACAAAGTGAGCAACGCTGAATCTTACAGTACAACACCGTGACTTTCTCCTCTCACTCACTTGACTTTGTCTTTTCTGCACCAACATCTTATCATCAGTACACAAATACCCGGCCGGGGGCAGATCTGCCTCCTGTCCTGAACGTAGTACACAAATACCCGGCCTGGGGCAGATCTGCCTCCTGTCCTGAACGTCCTCTATCTTGTCCAAGATCCTGTTTGCTGAGTGTTTTCATGGCATGCACATATATAAATTTACCATCAACATCCCTCTGAATGCGGCTTATCTGCATTTGCACTGATAATAATATCAGGTTACTGTTTTATCGATGAAGCAGCCCCGTTCAGGCCTGAGTACCTGGCTGTCTGTTTACCTTCACCTACGTCTCCACCAGTGTCTCTGACCCGACTCTGTCTCTTTAAAGACACACGTCCAAAAGAGATTACATCATAAACTGCCAAAGTGGAATATGACTTGTTTTCTGTCTGGGTCCAAGTCATTACATACAGTTAACTAATAATAATTACTTTTTACTGAGATCAGCCAGAGAGCCTCGGCTAAAGGCCTGGGGACATACAATATGGCCAGGAAGTGACTTCAACCCTCTCTCCATCAATAACACTAGCATATCTCATTACCGTGGCGACCTGCAGGACTCTGCCACTCGCTCTTGATCATATAAAACCCATTTCAGTTCCCTGCTGTCCCTGCAAGAGCACCGGCAGAGTGGAATATTCATTATTCAAATTTTAAGCATTGGAAATCCCAATATGTTACTAAGGCCAGATGAGATGAGATAAAATAGCTTAGCCTTTTGTCCAGGGAACATTGACTAATCATCTGGTTCCCAAAAATCAATTTCCGAGCCGTAAGCATCAGACACTCCTGATTGTACTGTACTGTGGAGGACCCCCCGTCGCTATCACCTAATACTCCTGCTGGCTGTGCCCAGAATAACTTATTGATTAGTGATTATGTTACGGGAGGTGAGGGTGGCCGGGGCGGAAGATGGACTGGCCTCAGTCATCTCCACGGAGCTAAATTTGGGACGTCTGTTACCAGATCCAGCACAAACTGACACTATCACCAGCTGCCATCGTCCCTGTGGAGGATGTTCAGAAAAATGCAAAGTACACAGGAATGCAATTCTTATATTCCGGACAGGAATAGGGAAAATAGTTTGGGTTAAAGGCTTTACTACGTCGCGCTCCGCAGTTAGCCTGGTTAGAGCTTCTGGTCCTCTGACTGCTCTGCATAAATGATCGAAGTGTGGAATTAGGGCGACTGCTGTTTAGTTTCTCAGTCATGCTGGCACAGAATGTGTTTAAAAAGGCAAATCAATAAATATCCCTGTACCGCTGACAGCCATCAGGGGACACAGACGCTGTTAGACTCCACGTCACGCCTCTGTTTACTGAAGGCAAGAGTGCGTCTGCAATCACTGGGGTTAAAATATGGCGACCCCTTTGGTTCAGTGTAAACATGGCTCTATGGAGGGAACGTCTTCTTAGCGGTTCTATAACAGGACATCGGTGATGCTGAGCTCGGCCTGAAAAGTCACTGTGATCGATACCTGCAGGCCCTTTTACCCAGTGTGTGTGTGTGTGTGTGTGTGTGTGTGTGTGTGTGTGCGTGTCCATGTGTTTATGTGTGTATGGCTTTGCTGTGTCAGCATCCACTCAGGACTTCATCAAACATCCCCCATATCCTCACTCCACACACCCACATTGGCTGATGCTCCGCTCAAACAGTCGCTCATTTTCACTTTCCCCTGCTCAACACGCCCAGCCTCTCTCTCTATCTCTCACCCTCTCTCACCCCCACCCACCCTTCCCGTCCACACATGCCCCTCACACACACTCTCTCTCTCTCTCTCTCTCACACACACACACAGTCTCTGCCTCCTATTCCAGGCCATCCCAACAAGGATGTTAAATACCATTCAAATGTCAGCCGGCCGTATTGATTGGAATAATAATTCTGAAAGGTAGAAGAGACGGCTCGTTGATGCTAAGCAGACGCCTGACGCCCCGAGCATCCTTCATTGTCACAAAGTTGCCATGTAAGGGTTCCCGGCTCCTGTGGCAGAGTGTGCGTGGCGGTCTATGTTCAGACCACCGAGGCGAATGTTTCTGTCATTAATCATGGTCCTCACACAGCGGTGACAGGGCCGACCAGGATCCACGCCAAGAGAGAGAGAGAGAGAGGGTCATTTGAAACGCCATCCAATCACAGTCATGAAGTGTGAGTTTGGCGTTTGGAGTTAAAATTACCAAAGCGTTATGAGGTGAGGGATGTTGTCGTGGCCTTGTCTGTCTCTTTGTCGCGAATGTTTAATCTCAGAGGTTCATATACGACTTTTTAGTTTTAGTTTTTATCTCAAACAATACGTTTTCAACTGTAAGCAAATGGAAATGTATCCTCTATACTAAGTTAATCAGACCCAAAAACTCAAAAACTATTTTACATATTTTTGTTGCGATGACAAGATAAGAATATTTGTCATGAAATGGTTTGAAGTTTTGTTTCGGTAAAAAGTTAAAGGTGGTATATTAGAAATATTATAGTAAGAAGTATTGGTTATAAAAACTCCTGAGAGGTTTTCATACACACTTTTCGTGTTCAGGCAGCATTCACATCTTAATCAATCAGCCCTTAAAGTTGAGCTCAATAAAAGGATGAAACACACGCCCTCACCTGGCTGGTACATCGATGTTGGAGATGGCATAGAAGTACTTGAGCAGGTTGTCCCTCTGGACGTAGGTGCCTCCGAGGGCAGGCCTGAGGAGCCTCAACCTCAGGTTGGTGAAGGTGAAGAAGTCCTTCAATCCCTTCATACTTTCCATCCGTGTGTACAGGCTGTCCATGTTCTGCAGCCGCGGCCCGGCAAACACGGCGAAACGGGCTCGGACCTCGAACTTAACATTCTTGTCATTCTTGGAACCGACCCATCGAGAGTACTGCTCAGTGCAAAGGACCTTTGTGATATTGGCGGGTGAAAGGTCACGCACACGCTTGGGGGCCATGTTAAATGCGTCCAGACAGTCGTCAGCATAGAACTGGTACGGCTGCCAGGAGCGTCCGTGGTCCATGGATTTATCCAGTATCATGATTGTAGGCCGACCGTACTCAAAGGTGATGAGGACGTCGTCGGTGAGCTCCAGGCTCTTGTTCCAAGACATGGTGATGTTGGCCAACAGGGGCTCGGGGTGGCGTCTCCATGTAACTGTCTGCCAGTAGGTGATCAAGCCGTTATGTTCACGGTCCTGCATCAGCTCTGGAGGGTGGGCCAGGTCTCTGTTTGAGGCGTCGCACTCATCACTGCACAGATATGGGTTCTCCTAAAGGAGAGAGAGAGAAAACCAAAGTCAGGCTTTAGAATGATAGTGTTTACTGACATACACAGTAATTCACAGGGTAAAGCAGAGATTATCAACAATCCGACCCGTAACTGGATTCTAAAATTGTGAGGAAGAGTATGGTGTGATCCTGACTACGAAAGAAACAACAACTGAGACCTAATTAACCATCATCGTGATCCCCACCCTTTATGACTGTATTTAAAAAAAAATAGAGAGAAATACATAAAAAAATAAAAAAATAATTTCCCGCCCCAGTGTTCTCACCCTCAGACAAATATAGCTAATGACCCCTGGGGTAAAGGAGGAAAAAAAGTTTTACTTTTGGATTTCAATATCACTTAAAATTTGCATATTTTGCTGAGAGCAAAAAAAAAAATCTTTTTATTTTTATAATTTTTTGAAACTCCACAAGTTCAGAAAAAATAAAATAAAAAAGTCCTCAAAAACTAATTGCAAATTTGTGGTAAAAATAAAAACCCAAAACACTAAACAAATGTCAAAGTACATCCTTTTACAGTTAAGAACAGACCAGGGGTGTCGAACATACGGCTCGTGGCCAAAACAGGCCGGCTAGACAGTTCAATCCAGGTGTGAAAATACACAAACACTTCATGTTGGTGATGTTCTGTCTAAATATATTTCATTAGATATGAATATTTTCTAATGTTCTTGTACTTATTTCCAGAAAAACAATGGGGAAACATGGACTTATTGTTATTTATAGGTAATTATGTTCAGATTATGCTGGTCCGGCCCACTTGACACCCCTTGTCTAGACCGTACAGTACTGTACAGTAAATAATGTATGTACTGTCAGTATGTACGTTAAAGGAAGTGAAAATTGCCTCAAAGTCGGCAACTTTTCCTCAACTTAAACAAGACATCCTGGTCAGTTCTTACTCCCAGAGGTGTGAATCTTTCTCTGCTGTCTTGTTCATCACAAAACCATCTCCAGTATGGAGTGTGTACAAATAAAATAACTCCATGGCTGAAAACCTGCCAAACAACACAACAAGAAGTGTGAAGGTCAAGAGGATCATGCATCATCACTGACTTTGCATAGACAGCAGAGTCCTGCCGCACTTTTAACTCCAGAGAATTGATCCCTCTCCTATACCCATGCCAAGACTTTCAAGGCACGGCCTCACTGCTCAATTCACAAGTCAACAAGATTATGCACACAGTCCTCGGAGAGGCACGGACTTTATCTACCTGCACTAAGAAAAGCATCTCACTCTCACACCACACAGGGAGCCGGGTCCAAACTGACGGGTTGTAGAACGGGCTCAGCTATTATCAGCTCAAATACCAACTGCAGTTTGAGAAATGTCACAGAAACGTCCTTCTCTACATCATGTCTTACTTGATGCTAATGAAGGAGGACACCAGAATGTTTGATTCCATATGATACTGATGACTGTTTTTGGCATTCTGATATCAATATATTTTTTCTTTTTTTCTTTTTTTCTTTATCCTCCTATCTCTCTCTCTCTCTCTCTCCGTATCTATCTATCTATAACTATATATTTTCATTTTTCTATAATATTATTAATAACAAACTACATTGTTGGTCTTTACACAATGTAACCTAAATACTTTAGTTACTACTATTAAGGGACAAGAGATTCTCTGTTTTGGTCAGTGGTCATGTGACATGAATGGATCAGTAACCAGGAGGCGGGGCTATTGCAGCACAAACGTCTGTATGTAGTAAGTTACCCTAAAAAGATGTGGAAGTGACACATGTGCTCTTTCCATTTGTTCAAGTATTGATACTTATTGATATTTGTCTAAGTATCGATATATATGAATACCACAGATACCGCAAAGTTGAACTGCAGCACCATGCACAGAGCTGAACTCATCGCTGTTTGGGTTAGGAGTACTTCCTCTCAAGGTTAGGAGTACTTCCTCTCAAGGTTAGGAGTACTTCCTCTCAAGGTTAAGAGTACTTCCTCTTAAGGTTAAGAGTACTTCCTCTCAGGGTTAAGAGCACTTCCTCTCAGGGTTAGGAGTACTTCCTCTCAGGGTTAGGAGTACTTCCTCTCAGGGTTAAGAGTACTTCCTCTCAGGGTTAAGAGTACTTCCTCTCAGGGTTAGGAGTACTTCCTCTCAGGGTTAAGAGCACTTCCTCTCAGGGTTAGGAGTACTTCCTCTCAGGGTTAGGAGTACTTCCTCTCAAGGTTAAGAGTACTTCCTCTCGAGGCTCTCGGGGAATTAACGATGTTCCATGTTCTGTTGTAGAATGGATGGATTTGTTTGGAATTTCATTGAACCTTTTTTATTTTTCTCAAATGCTGCAGTTATGCCGGACACTCATCATCCTCTCACCCCCTCCGCTCCCCCTCCCACCCCCGTTCCACCGGCTCTCCATGTTAAAAATATGTGCAGACGTTGATGAAGCTCACAGCTGACATCCACATTAACACAGAGGTTAAGTATTTACACAAAAAAACCCTGCGTCTTTTTCTGCTTAATCAGCTCTAACATTGTTTAGATAGCGTCTCATGTTCGAGGCTCATCATCACCCAAGGACGTACTAATTAGTCTGCGCTTATTATGTTGTTTTTTTTTCTTTTAGTATTGAGACATAGACCCTCGGTGTTTTATAATCGGGGTCATTAAGGATGTTTGCATAGTGTTATTTTACACAAAGCCACAGGCTGCTGCTTTTATTTGAAATAGTGCTGTGGAGGTCCAGTCCTGGAGCTGTCATCTGTTACAGATATTCATGTGTTTGGAATTTCAAAACGGCAGCAGGTTGATTCTGTTCAGATCAATAATGAGCTGCAGAGATTTTCTCTCCGTCAGTTTTCCCCGACTGTTTACATGTCGTGGTTGTTTTTCATTCTTTGTGTTTTATTTGTTGGGAATTTAACGGTTGTTTTGAGTTTTACTGCGTTCTACTTAACGAGCTGTTGATGGAGTCCAGGGTAAAAATATCTTTTTTTTTTCCCCAATTGCAATTCTACCTCTCTGCTCTTTTGGTCTTCGTCGTCGTCTTTTTTCTCGG